GGACGGTCTACGGGACGGTCTACAGGACGGTCTGAGAAGAACCTGGGATCAGACGGGGTCTGTGCTGGTTCTGGATAGACCAGTCAGAGAGTGGATCAGGTTCTAGTCAACTTTAGTCCAGGAGAGTTGACCTTTGACCTGAGGACAGGACAGAGGAGGCGACAGTGACATCACTGTCCTCTCATGTTTGTGGGTCAAAGGTTAAAAACTTAACTTAACTGTGTTTGTTTGTTTTTTCTCCGTGTTTTTCTTCTGTATCCTCAGGGTTTAATTCTGACAAACAGCCACAAGGGGCATCGCTATCAACAATATTTACGACACAGGTTAATGAGCCGCGCTCTGATGAATAATTAATTTGATGTGATGAGTTCTCAGGAGAGGGAGAGGGAACGTTCCAGAGAGACCAACCCAACAAGTTTGGAGAAAGTTCCACCTTGACTGACCCCTTCAGGAAGTTCTGGTTCTGCAGCAACTCACGGAAGGCCCAAACAGCCAACAGCAGGGGGCAGCAGCGGGTTCAGCTGAGATCACTTTGATGATCTTTGATGTGATGCACACACACATATACACGTGTTTGTATACAGTTATACTTGAACATAAACATGTATGTATGTGTAGAAATACATGTTCCAGCATGGGGGTCTTTGGAACACGCACCGACCACAGGGGGCGCCGTTAAGTACGTGACTACTATGAAGCTCGAACTCAAGTCACGGTGATGTCACGGTGATGTCACGGTGATGTCACGGTGATGTCCGTCCGTGGGTCCACGAAGGCATGGCTGACCGCGCGGTTTCACCTCCAGACTGGAACGTTCGTCTCTTCTCACAGGAGGAAATCACCTGACCAGGGGTGGAGGAGATCATTGGTCGGTGGTGGGTCACGTGGCCTGTTTACATCACAGAGCTGTCGTGAAGAAAAAGCCGATGTGAAGAGTGTGGAGAAGACAAGTGAGCAGCTGCTCTGCAAGGAGAGCAGCGGCGCCTCCTGCTGTCTGAGGAGGATCTTCTCACATGAGAACGTTCCTGATGTTCCTCTGCACGAATGTCTCCGTCAGCGAACAACACCACAGCTGCCCAGCTGTATATGGGGCACCTGGAGAGGGCGCTGCTCTCCACGCTGACCTCCGTGCCCTGCGGCGTCTTCCTCTTCGTGAACGCCACCATGTTGTTCACCCTGAGGAGTAAGGCCGTGTTCCGTGACACCTCTCGCTACGTTCTCCTCTTCAACCTGCTGGTGACCGACACCGTCCACATCGCCGTCAGTCAGGTTCTCTACCTCATCGCCTCCAGCCACGTTCTACTGACCTACCCCGTGTGCGGCGTCTTCAACATGCTCGCCAAGCTCACCAACGAGGTCTCTCCGCTCACCCTGGTGGCCATGTCTCTGGAGCGCTACGTGGCCGTGTGCTTCCCGTTCAGGCACGCCGCCCTCACCGGACCCAGGAACACGGCGGCGGCCATACTGGCGGTCTGGCTCTTCAGCTCCATGAACATCCTGACCCGGGTCCTCCTGCTCCTGGACTTCCCCTTCCAGCAGCTGGACTCCCTGTGGATGACGGAGTTCTGCTCGGACTTCGCCATGATGGTCGGACCGGTGTCCGCCCAGTACGACAGGGCCTACACCTGCTCCCTGTTCGTGCTGGCGGCCGTCTCCATTTTCGCCTCCTACGTGGGCGTGGCCACGGCGGCCAGGTCCGCGTCCACAGACAGAGAGTCGGTGGCCAGGATTCGAACCACCCTGCTGCTGCACCTGGTGCAGCTGGGCCTGAGCCTGTCGTCCACCGTCTACCTGTCCGTCCTGGTGCTGCTGTTCACGGCCTACAGTCGCCTCATGTTCATCCGACTCCAGAACGTTCTCTACGTGTTGATTTTTATTTTCCCGCGCTGCCTGAGTTCACTCATCTACGGCATCAGAGACCAGACCATCAGACTGGCTCTGGTCCAGAACCTCTGGTGTTTCAAGAACAGCCAAAACCAGCGTCTGAGAAAAAACAGAGTTCATCACTGGTTTAACAACGACTTACTGAGTTAAAGAATGATGACCGGGTGTGGTCGGCTGTACCGGGGGATGTCGGCTGGACCGGGGGTTGTCGGCTGTGCCAGGTGATGTCGGCTGGACCGGGGGTTGTCGGCTGTGCCAGGTGATGTCGGCTGGACCGGGGGTTGTCGGCTGTGCCAGGTGATGTCGGCTGGACCGGGGGTTGTCGGCTGTGCCAGGTGATGTCGGCTGTACCGGGGGATGTCGGCTGTACCAGGTGTGGTCGGCTGTGCTGGGTGATGGTCAGTCTGAATTGAATCCACTTCCTGTTTGTGGTGGATTCACTGTGAAAGTTTAAAGTTCACTTCTTCTCTGACGATGATTGACTTTTTCTGACTTGAATCCCTCGTCTTTGACCTTTGACCTCTCCTCACTGCTGACTTTGATGAAGAAACATTTCATTTTTTTGCAGCAGATTTAAAACCTGAACGACCTCACGCTGGTACCAGATTCCTGGTACGACATGGAGAAGACACGAGGTCAGAGGTCAGAGCAGCTGGAGTTCATCACCAACGTTTAGTGTTTAATAAAATAAAATAAATTAAAAAAAATATATATATATAATCCTCCTCTTAGTGGCCCTGACACTGTGTGGCGCTGTCTCCCTCTCTGTCCCCCTCTCTGTCTCCCTCTCTGTCCCCCTCTCTGTCCCCCTCTCTGTCTTCCTCTCTGTCTCCCTCTCTGTCCCCCTCTCTGTCTCTGTCTCATCCAGACACGGTGCTGTTGTTGATCCACCTCGACCTTACAGCAAGAAGGTCACTGGTTCAATCCCCACATCTAACTGTTCTCCCTGTGTGTGTGTGTGTGTGTGCTCCAGCCCCCACCACCCTGAGAAGACCACCAGTGACCCAGTGACCCTCTGGTTCTGTTTGACCTTTGACCTCACCTTGACACACACACACACACACAGTCTCGCTGTAAGAAAAGTCCAGTGACTGAGTTCTAAACTTTCAGTCCCAGCGGGTCGTCGGTTCATGTGGGGGTGGGACTAACTGACAGAGAACGATGACATCACTGTTCACTGGTCATGTGACAGCGGCGGATAAACACAGAGAGACGCAGGTGTGAGTGCTGCAGAGCTGTTGGCCCTCCGGTGGTGAGCGGCAGCCACTGCTCCCAGAAGGTCCAGTCATGTGACTTTGTTTGGTCCAATTTCACAGAACACGCTTGTCTGTGTCCGTGGCAGATGGTGTTCGATTCCCTGGGACATGTCGTCCTCTGCTAACGTCACTCGACTGGCTGTGGTGGAGAGAGCCGCGTTGGCCACGCTGACCTCGCTGACCGGCTTCGTCTTCTTCTGCGTCAACGTCACCCTGATGGTCACCCTGAGGGGCAGGGCCGTGTTCCGTGACACGTCCCGTTACGTGCTGCTCTTCAACCTGCTGTTCGCCGACACGCTGCAGATGTCCCTCAGCCAGCTGCTCTACCTGCTGTCCGTCTTCAGGGTCCTGCTGACCTTCCCCGTCTGCGGCTTCATGGTGATGCTCAGCAACGCCACCAGCGAGATCTCGCCGCTCACACTGGTGGTCATGTCTCTGGAGCGGTACGTGGCCGTGTGCCACCCGCTGAGGTACGGCGTGATCGTCAACAACAAGAACACGACGGCGGCCGTGCTGGCGGTCTGGGCCGCGAGCTGCGTCAACACGTTGGCCCGGGTCTTCCTGTTCCTGGAGATTCCCTTGGCACTGGACTCTCTGCAGATGAACGACTTCTGCAGCTCCACCGTCATGTTCCACAGCCCCTCCATGCTGGAGTACAACAAGGCCTACACCGCTTTCCTCTTCCTCTCCTCCACCGTGACCATCGTGGCCTCGTACGTGGGCGTGATCATCGCCGCCAGGTCGGCGTCGGTGGACGACTCCTCGGCGAGCAAAGCCCGGAACACGCTGCTGCTGCACCTGTTCCAGCTGGGCCTCAGCCTGATGTCCACCATGGCCAACGCGCTGCTGGCCGCCATGTACAGGGTCCTGCCCAGGAGGGCGCTGTTGCTCGCCATGAACTTCATGTACATCTTTGTGTTCCTCCTGCCCCGGTGTCTGAGCGCCTTCATTTACGGAGTCAGGGATCGGACCATCAGAACCGCCCTGTTCTACAACGTCTGCTGTGGAAGAAACTGTGGAAGAAACTTCAAGAGCTCTCTCTTTAAAAGAAAACAACAACAGGCCTCACACTGAGAACTGGTGCCCTCTAGAGGACGAAACGATCCTCTGTACCAGTGGTTCTTAAAGTTTTGATACTCTGTACCACCTGAGAAAACATGGAGCTCTCTGACCACCACGATGACCACCACGACAGCAGCCGAGGCCGTCTCCTCCTGTTAGCTCCACCAGAGATATTTATAAAGATGTTTGTGTTTAAATGTTGTATTAATTGTGCCTGGTATGTTTCAGATTTTCACGTTTATATTTTCAGTTGAAAATATAAACGTGAAAATGTGAATTTTCCCCCACATACCACTAGAGAGCGCTCACGTACAGAACCACTGTTGAATAAAGTAAAGGCTTTACTACATTCATTTTGGTATTTGTTTTTATTTGCTTGAAATGAAGTCACAGACGGAGGAGGGAGAATAAAACAAAAACCCTCATTTTCCTAATAAAGTTTTTTTTCATTAAAAACAACTTCTGACCATTTTTGTCACAACAGGAACAAACGTAAAAACAAACAACTTTTAACTCAGAAACGTGTTAAACAGGAAAATGTACTTTAGTCTTTTGTTTTGTTTTTTGTCCAAAACCACAGTTCAACCGTCGTCTTCGTTTAAAAACAAACTCAACACAAAACTAGAACTGAGCTGGAGGTCAAAGGTCAGCGAGAGAGGAGTGGGAGGTCACTGGAGTTCATGATGAGACTGGAGTCCAGGTTCAGGCTCTCTGAAAACACAAACCACTCAGTCACTGCACCGTCCTCGATCAAGTTGGTGAGACGTGAGTGACAGTCTTTCAGCTTTAGCGCCCCCACCTGGTTCCCCAAAAACTCACCCTGGTCAAAGTTGAGTTTCTTAGTGGACGATCCATCGCCGAGGCCTTCGATGTCGACGAGGTCGCTGTTCACGTCCGAGTCGTTGAGTGCGCTCAGAGTCACGTCTGTGTGGGCGGAGCAAGGAGGCAGAGAGGGGAAAGTGTTGAGGAGACGTCACAATCTGATTGGACGACAGTCGCTGCATGTCAGTTCTCACCTGCTGTCTTTTGTTTTTTGATGGACGGGGCCAAAGAGGGGCTAGCCTGTCGTCCGGTTGCCACGACAACCTGTGATGGCACCGCCATCATGGCGGGAGCTGAGGAGGCGGTGGACGCTCCCACAGTGGGCGGAGCTACAGAGACTGACGACTTTTTCACACCCTTTTTTGGAGATTCGGAGGAAATGGGAACTCTGCTGTCTTCATACAACTTCCTCTTCACCGTGCTCTTTATCTGAGCTCTGCGGAGGAGTGACAGTCGATCGATCGATCAATCGATCAATCAATAAGGCTTTACTTCTTTACCCAGTCAATGTCTGTCTAGGTTTATACTGGAGCAAATACACAGGGGGCGCTGTTAACTGCTTCAGGAGTCAGGTGATGTTTGGTGTGTTTGCTGGAAACACCAGGGCGGGATTAGAACCTGTGACCTCCCAGTCAGCCGAAATAATAAACTAATAATTAACCTTAATGAGTTACCAACTAGTAGACAAAGTAAATAACTGATGAGCAAATCAAAATGGCTGAACATCGTCATGACAACAGTCACCAACAGACAAACCACTGACAAACTGAATGGTTGGTGTTTTAACTAGGGTTCAAAGGTTACCGTTTTATTTTGATGTTAGTTATGACGTCAGGGTTCAATCCCTCAAACTTACACCGTTCTCTCTTTGATGACCGTGCTGATGTTGTTCAGGTCGTCTCCAAAGCGGCGCACGGCCAAACGCAGCATCTCGATCTCTGTCTCCGTCCATTTGGCTCTGAGGACAGGGACATGTCCAAAAAAGTGTCAACAGGGATTTGAAGTATTTTCAACTGTTGTCTTCAAACCATGAACACGTTTCTATTAGAGCTGGAAGAAAATCTCCATCCACTGAAGTCTCTCCTGATCCCAGATCAATCTCCTCAGTCATTGATCAGTTCTTGATTTTTTTTCCTCCCCAACTCCCAGTCCAACATTCCTGGTGTTGGTTCATGT